CCATAGCACCAGCCACAGGCCTGCTTGAAACTCGGCGGCACCCGGGGGACTGGCAACGGAGTTGGATAGATCAGGATCAATCCCACACAGGTAACCTTCACAAACATACCGTCCCGAGGTAGTAACTGTAAATGCACACCATGCCCAAGACGGTGGCCCTCCCAAGGATTGTTGGCGAGACCCTCCAGACCCATCGGTATGGATTTCCACCCAAGCTACCTGCTCATCCTCTGAGGGGGGGGAGGCTCCGTGGGTATCAAAAAACGAAATCGTACTACTGAAGGTATGGGTGAAATAGACAGTGATCAGCCGTCTGGCACTGCCCGAGAAAGGCGGGGGAGAGAGAAGCACTAGATTGCCAAGGCTGACGTAGTTGCCTGACAAGCTCACTGCAGTCGGGAATCGGGCAGCGGGGCTGCCCAGGCTCGGACTCCATCCGAGCGTGGGGGCGAGGCGACATGGCTGGCCGTTGGCCAGCAGCGGGCAGGCTGTGAGATGGCAGCACTGGCGGCTCAGGCATCTCACTCCCCGAAGCCTGCCCGTCATGTCGCATCACCCCAGCTCCGACAGGTCCGATGAGTCTGATCCCTTGGCCCCGCCAGCACGCGTGTGCCGTGGGCTGTGGCTGCGACTGTGACGCTGCCGACGTTCTGCGGCGGCGGCGGCATCAGGAGCTCCAGCCTCGCGGGCGAGCTCGGCACGACCTGCTGGAGCCGGAGGGATCGCACCTCGTCCACGATGGCTCTCGACGCCCTCCTGCCTCGCGATGGCCTCGCGAAGCCCCTGTTGACCAGTCGGTCGGCGTGCGCGCTCGGCATCACGACGGGCCCTCCGCGCCTCGGCGTCACGAGTCTTCTTCGCATCCACCTTCTTCCATCCTTCTTCTTCTTCGTCGGCATCAGCTGCATCTGTCGCCGCCTCCACGACGTCTGCCCCGCGTGCACGCGGGCGCGCGCCTGCGGCCTGGCGCCCGCGCTGCGCGGGATGCATCCCGTCGGCAGCGGCGGCTGGCGGGCCCTGCCCAGGGCCAGCGGCGGCGGCTGCGCCAGCGGGGGCGGCTGCGGTGGCCGCCGCAGGGGCGGCAGCGGGGGCTGCTGCGGGTGCCGCGGGCGGCGGCGCCGCCGTGGGCGCAGCCGCAGGCGCTGCAGGCTCTCCAGCGGGTGCCGCATCAGGCCCAAGGCGCTGCGGTGGCCCAGCGAACGGGCGAACCTCTGGAGGGGCCGCAGGCGATGCCGCAGTGCCCTGGGCCCGCATCGCCGCCAACTCCGTCTGGACCGTCGCGAGCAAGCCCGTGAGCCCCACAAGCGCCTGTCCCAGCTCCAGCTGCCCAGCCTGCAGCGCCGCGAGCGCGGCGATCGGCGGGGCCGTGTCGGGCGGGGTGCCTGGCATCGCTGGCGGCGTGCCTGCAGCAGGATTGCCCATCGGTACGTCTCCGTCGGCTGCCTCTTGAGCAGCAGCAGGAGGCGGGCGCATGGCCTCCAGCTGCTCCAGCAGCGTCCTGGCCCTCTCCACGGCGGCCGACCTCTGCTGGACCTTGGCGTCCGCGTCCTCCAGGGCGGCACGAGCTGCAGCGGCGGCGTCCTGAGCTTTCTCAAGCTTCTGCTGCGCTCTCTGGACATATGACTGTTGCTTGTCACATCTCACGCCAGAGGGACGAGCGATAATTATCATACAGAGCTTCGCGGCATACTCCTCTTCCTGAGGGCGCATCTGCTCGGCCGACATGCCTAAATCCTTCGCAGCCTGGAGGCGTTTGCCTGTGGCGGCGGCCATCTGGCGCAGCGAGCGGCGGTGAGCCCCAAGCTCACGCTCCTCACTCGGCGGCTCGACCCAGGCGGGGTGAGCCTTGGCGGCCTCTGGCAGCGCGGGCAAAATGCCCAATGCCGGGCTGCGCAGCTCGTCGTCGCCGCCGTCCGAGGAGTGGCCGCCCTCGTTGGCCGCGCCGTCGTCGTCCTCGTCCTGCGCGAAGCGCACACGGGAGCCCGACCTGGTCTGGCTGGATCGCCTGCGTCGGCGCGAGCCAGAGGCGCGGCGGTGGCGGTCGCGCGGCTGGCTGCGTCGATCGCCGGCCTCGCTGCCGCGGTCCGCCGCGCCGTGCTGCGGCCCGCAGGCTGGCAAGGGCATGCACGTGCGGCAGAGCAGGTCCGACGGGCCATTGAGGCCTCCGCAGGTCGGGCACCACCATCCTGGCGGCGGCGGCGGCACAGCCCATGGTGGGGTGCTGCCGCTCTGCCCGCTGTGGCCGCTGCCCTTGCCACCGCCCTTGCGGCCCTGGCCGCTGCCCTTGCTGCCGTAACCTCCAGCACGGCCAGACATGATCCCGCTGCTGTGGTGCACGCGCAGCCTCGCCGCTGCGGCGGCGACGCGCAGCAAGGTGCGCGACTGCGTGCGCCGCTCGCGAGCACGCCTGTGCCAGGCGGGCTCGCGCACGCGCAGCCGGCGCCGCGCCCTGCGCACTGCGGGCGCCCGCGCCGTCGTGCGCCCGCCCACGCTGGGGGCGGCGCACGCCACATCACAGCAGCACGGCCGGCCCGCACGCCACCAGCGAGGGCGGCGCGGGCGAGCGCGTATGGCCGCCGAGTCCCGCGAGGCTTCGCAGGTATCCTGGATACCTGCACCCAAAAGCCTCGGGCCGGGACGGCGGCTGGAGGAGGAGGAGGGGAAGGAGGAGGAGGAATGAGGAGAGGGATAAGCATGTGAATGGCAGTAGCAGCACGTTCTCTTGTGAGTGCGAGGACGTGTCCTGGCGTCACAGGGCCAACACGCCTGTGGGCCGCGGGCTGGTGGATCCATGGGTACATCGAGCAGAAGTTCCTCATGACATTTTATTGGATTTTTGGCTCGACCCCTTTCGTCATGTCGAGTCGCCTTCACCTGTAGCCAAGAGTTGCATCTATTTGTGAAACATGCTCTTTGAACGCAGAGGTGTGCACTCGACAAGCGATGTGACCCAGAAACATGTGCTTTGCCGTTTGCCTGCAAGTGGGCATGCACCGCAAAGCATTCCCAGGATGGAAGACAGGCCCCACCTCCCAATCGCGTGCCTCCTCGCCCTCCTCCTCGGCGCGGACACGCTCGACACAGGCTTCGGCAATCGGGGAACGAACAATGACATATACATCCTCCGCCGGATGTCTCGGATCGGCGCTGGGCCCCTTGGCGGCGCCTCAGGCGCCGCCATTGGCGCGTTCCGCGCGCCAGGGAGGGGGGCCTAGCGCCGATCCGAGAAATCCGCGCGGACCTCCGAGCCTTTGTGGCTATGCCATCGTTCGTTCCCCTAGGGCAAGGCAGCGGCGCCGCCGAGGGTGCTCCGCCGCCCAGGCCTCAGAAGCTCCAGCGGAGCCAACAACGTCCAGAGGAGGAGGAGGAGGAGGAGGAGGAGGAGGAGGAGGAGGAGGAGGAGGAGGAGGAGGAGGAGGAGGAGGAGGAGGAGGAGGGAGGAGGAGGATGGAGGAGGAGGAGGAGGAGGAGGAGGAGAGGAGGAGGAGGAGGAGGAGGAGGAGGAAGAGGAGGAGGAGGATGAGGAGGAGGAGGAGGAGGAGGAGGAGGAAAAGGAGGAGGAGGAGGAGGATGTGGGGGGCAACATTATGGGGGGCCCTGATGCTGCTCGTCGCTGCTCGGTGCTGCGGGCACGAGAGCTGTAGCACACAGCGCAGCCCTGCTCCCCCTCTGTCAGCGACCTTCCCCGCCAGGGGGAGTGGGGGAGAGGGAGAGAGGGAGGGAGGGAGGCAGGGAGGAGGAGGAGGACCAATGTAAACCCAAGAGTCATCAACGATGTTTGAATTAACCCTTCTTCATAGGCTCCTACAACGGTTCATGTTCCATTGAGGGAACTGCCTCGTTGGAAGACAACCGTTTGAAGACCTTGAAGCATGCCAAAATATTCTTCCCGGGATTCCCACGCCACGGATCAACCTGACTGCCGCGTCCTGACGATCTGAAATCGTGCCAGAGCGCTTTGTCGGGACTTCATCAATTCGAGTCAACATAACCGTTGCACCAGCGTAATCCTGAATCCTTCGAAACACAATATCTGGTACGCTGATCATGGTAATTCGTGAAACTCTTGCAAGTTTAAACAACGAGTATGCGCGGCGCTAAGGCGAGAGTCACATTTTGAAAAGGAACCGCCCTCCATCCATGAAACGCCTGCCATCTTTAAAATGAATGTGCGCGGCGCGAAGGCGAGAGCCGCATTTTGAAACCGACCCGCCCTCAATCCGTGAAGCTCTTGCAAATTTCGAAGACGAATGTGCGCTGCGCTAAGGCGAGAGCCACGTTTTGAAAACCATCCGCCTTCAACTCGTAAAACATGAAAGTGCATGGCGCAAAGGCGAGAGCTACATTTTGAAAACCACCCGCCCTCAATCCGTGAAGCTCTTGCGAACTTTCGAAGCGAATGTGCGCGGCGCTAAGGCGAGAGCCACATTTTGAAAATCACCTGCCCTCAACCCGTGAAGTTCTTGCACATTTGAAACCGAGAACCCGCCCTCCACCTGTGTTCCAATTTAAGTTTCAGAGTCATAAGTTGTGAGGAAGTCTCAGGCGAAACTCCCGGTCCGCCTTAAACATTGGCTCCATGGTGCGACAGTGTCAGGGAGATGTTATCTAAAAGGAAAAGGAATGGAGGAGGAGAGGCACAACATTCAGGCAGCGCACTGGGTCCTGCCCCCCCTCCCGAGCTAGGGGGGCTGCCCCTGCTGTTGCCGCGCGCCCCTCGGCAGGCACGTCGTTGGTTCTGCTCCTCGTTCTCCTCCCGCCCCCTCGGGGGTTGCTAAAGGTGCCCTTGGCCCACTGTGCCCCCCAGCGTTTCGCTCCAGTGTGGAGCCCCTGGGTCCCCCTGGGCCTCGCGAGGGGTGCTCTGGAGGCCGGGGGGGCCTCCTTGGAAATCCTGGGGGACACCTTGGGCCAGGGATACTTCTAGCAACACCCGACCCCCCCCCCCGTGAGGGAGGGAAGGGGCTGCCCCCGCTCCTGCGGGCACACGCCCCGCGGCACAGGCACGTCGCTGATCGTGACCCTCCTGACCCTGCCCGCCTGGCCCATCTGGAACAGGCGCCGGCCGCGCGTCTGCTGGGGAGGGGGGGGGGAGAAGGAGGAGTGAGCGAGGAGGAGGAGGAGGAGGAGGAGGAGGAGGAGGAGGAGGAGGAGGTAGATGAGGATGAGGATGATGATGATGATGATGATGATGATGATGATGATGATGATGATGATGATGATGATGATGATGATGATGATGATGATGATGATGATGATGATGATGATGATGCTGATGATGATGATGATGATGATGATGATGATGATGATGATGATGATGATGTGATGATGATGATGATGATGATGATGATGATGATGATGCTGATGTGATGATGATGATGATGATGATGATGATGATGATGATGATGATGAGGATGAGGTAGGAGGAGGAGGAGGAGGAGGGAGGAGAGGAGGAGGAGGAGGAGGAGGAGGAGGAGGAGGAGGAGGAGGCAGGAGGAGGCGGAGGAGGAGGAGCGAGGAGGGATGGGGGAGGCACTCTCCTCCTCTCCTCCTCCTCCTCCCTCCTCCTCCTCCTCCTTTCCTCCTCCTCCTCCTCCTTCCTCCTCCTCCTCCTCCTCCTCTTGTCTGCACTTGTGTAGTGCTGTGCCGCGGCCAATGGGCCAAAACGGGTCGTCAGAATTTTCGAACATAATGACGCCCATTTTGCCGCCGTCGGCCACGTTCGCAGGACATGTCTGTCTTGGCCGCGCGGTCAATAAGAGTGGTAACCGCAATACCACATTTTTTACACACTCACCGTTGCCTTTCTTGAGTCCAGCTTGGAGCCGCCTCCTTCTCCTCCTCCTCCTCCTCCTCCTCCTCCTCCTCCTCCTCCCTGTCCTCCTCCTCCTCCTCCTCCGCCTTTGGTGCTCCACCAGCATAGGCCTGCGAGAGCCTCCGCGACAGTTCCTTCTTCTCATCCTCCTCCTTCTCCTCCTCTCTCTCTCTCTCCTCCTTCCTCTCTCCTCCTCCTCCTCCTCCTTCTCCTCCTCCTTCTCGCCCTCTTCATTCTCCTCTTCATGCCGGGGAGGTGCTGGAGTAGACCCATCAGGGGCAACGTGAGGAGGAGACGGGAGACATGCTCAGGGGTGAGCGTATCCACCCCCACTCGCTCACTCGTCGCCGATCGGGGTCTGAGTCCCCGCCCGCCTGGGAAGACGCGGTTTCGCCATCGGAGGCCCATTGTCTGGAGGTTGGAAAGGAGGGTTGATAAAAGGCGTGTGGTGCCAATGCTGGAAAAGGCGATGCTATCTGCGATGGCTGCAGGTGCGTTGCATCCCGATTTCAGCAGCGTTGGCTTTGCGCCGACCGCCTCAAGCAACGTCAGAATTCCGGATTCTAACTTCAACGACCGACCGCAGTTCTACGTGAACAGCAAAACAAACATCTGCCTCAGGATGCCCGATCACCAAGCACACAGTTTCGGGAATTCAATGTCGCGAATAGCTTCATTCTGGATTTTCAATATCGCGGAAAACGTAACATTGGAAATTCCGCAGCGGTTTTCTGGGAATCCCAGAATCGCAAAAATGAATTCCGTAAATTCCGGAATCTCCGGAATCGCGTGCTTGGCGATCGGGCGTCATGCGACAGGCATTTGTGTCGCCGTTCACATTCGGTGGCGGTCGCGTAGGGAATTGGAATGATACATATGTGTGAGCACACATATGTTTTTTTTATATATATATATATTGTATAGATTTTGCCTTTGTTCGAAGCGGTCGACGTAACACCGCTGTTGTTGAAGTCGGGATGCAACGCGCTTGTGTCTGTCGTATAGAACACCGCCCTTTCCAGCATTGTACCACACCCCTCTCCGGTTTCAGACGTATCGCCGATTCCAGGTCGAAGTGGCGCGCGTGCTCTGGCTCTTGCAAATTTGAGGAGAGAATGAGGAGGCACAGGTGGGGGGATCGAGGGGACCAGGAGGCGGAGGGGGAGGAGGAGGAGGAGGAGGAGGAGGAGGAGGAGGAGGAGGAGAGGGAGGGAGGAGGAGGAGGAGGAGGAGGAGGAGGAGGAGGAGGAGGAGGAGGGAGGAGGGGAGGAGGAGGAGGAGGAGGAGGAGGAGGAGGAGGAGGAGGAGGAGGAGGAGGAGGAGGAGGAGGAGGAGGAGGAGGAGGGGCAGGTGGGGCCAGGGCGTCCTCGCATGAGTTTCTTTGACAGCTGCGGCGCAGTATATTTTTCGAGGCTGGGCCAGGGGGGGATGCTGGGTCCAGGGACAGGGCCAGCGGGCGACCGGGGCTGGGGCCAGGTCCACGGGGGCAGGCAGGGTCCAGTGCCAGGACCAGCGGGACGAGGGGGGCTGGGGCCAGGTCCAGGGGGGGAGGCTGGCTCCAGGGCCAGGACCAGGACCAGGAGGACGACGATAAATGAAAATGAAGGGTCCGGCGCGAGGGGGGTTGGGGCCAGGGCCAGCGGAGGAGGCTGGGTCCAGGGCCAAGGCCAGGGGTGCGACGACGAGCGAAAATGAAGGGTCCAGGGCGAGGGGGGCTGGGGCCACGGCCAGGGGAGGACGCTGTGTCTAGGGGGGCGACGACGAGGGGGGCTGGAGCTATGACCAGGGTGGGAGGTTGGGTCGAGGGCCAGAACCAGGGGGACGACGACGAGCGAAAATACAGGGTCCAGGGCGAGGGGGGCTGAGGCCAGGGCCAGGTGAGGAGGCTGGGTCCAGCGCCAGGGCCAGCGGGGCGAGGGGGGCTAGGGCCAAAACTACGGGAGGAGGTTGGGTCTATGCCAGGACCAGGGGGACGACGACGAGGGGGGCTGGGGCTAGGACCAAGGGGGGAGGCTGGGTCCAAGGCCGGGACCGTGGGGACGCCGACGAACGGGAATAATGGGTCTGGCGAGAGGGGGGCTGGGGCCACGGCCAGGCGAGCAGCCTGGATCCAGGGCTACGGCCAGCGGGGCGAGGGGGGCTATAGGGCCAAAACCAAGGGGGGGAGGTTGGGCCCAGTGCCAGGACCAGGGGGACGACGACGAGGGGGGCTGGGACCAAGAGGGGAGGCTGGGTCCAAGGCCAGGACCAGGGGGTCGATGGGTCCAGGGCCAGGGCCAGCGGGGCGAGGGGGGCCGGGGCCAGGACCAGGGGGGGAGGTTGGGTCCAGGGCCAGGGCCAGAGGGACAACGAGCGACAATGAAGAGGTCCGAGCTCCAGAACACAACTGCGCAAGACAATAGAGGGGCCGGGGCGGAGGTGGCGCTATGGCTGGTGCGTGGGGGAATGTGGAGGGGGCGCGCGGGATGGGAGGGGGAGCGGTGCCGTGGCGAAATGAAGGGGCCCGGGCGGAGGGGGCGCGCTGGCTGGTGCGTGGGGGGGATGCGGAGGGGGCGCGCGGGATGGGGGGGCGGTGCCGTGGCGAAGGAAAGGGGTCGGGGCGGAGGGGGCGCGCTGGCTGGTGGGTGGGGGGATGCGGAGGGGGCGCGCGGGATGCTGGTGGGGCGGCGACGTGCCGAAAGAAAGGGGTCGGGGCGGAGGGGGGCGGTGCCGTGCCGAAAATGCGGGGGTCGGGGCAGAGGGGGCGCGCCGGCTGGCGGGCGGGGTGACTCATGCAGGGGGGGCGCGGGCCGGAGGGGGGCGCGCAGGCCAGCGCCGAGCAGGGCGGCCGCGCGCACGCCAAGGTTTGCGCCTGCCCGTGCTTGTGGCTTTGCGGGATCGTCCCTCGTCCTTGGGCGGGCGTTTCCTCGCCTGTCGAGTTCGAGGCCTTGGCGATCGACGGGGCGAACGACGAGTTCCTCGGCAAGGGGGGCCTCCGCGCGCGGCGCTTCGTGTCTGGGGGCGCATCGGGAGGGCCCGAAGGCGAGCACCCCGAGCTGCGCATGGTCGGCGTGGGCCTCGTGGTGATGGGGGCTGGATTTCCTGAGGCGTGCAGGGTGATGCGCGGGCCGCCCCCTGGACGGCGTCACACAGTGGGGCGCGCGCCGCGTGGGTGGGCCACGGCCTGTGGTGGCGCCCCGGGAGGGCAGTCGAGCAGCAGGGCCGTGCTGGCAGAGGCGCCATCACGGTGATCTACATCAGCTCTCACCTCGACGCGGAGCTGCTGATCGCCAAGGGGGGGGTCCCAGCAGCGCCGTTGCGCGGCAGCGCCGTAGCCGGCGAGGCTGCTGGCAGGAGGACGTTTTCGGTTCCTGGGCGATCGCGGGCGGTGCCGGGTGGGGGCGGAGGGGGTCTGGGGGGCCAGTGACGTCACGTTTCGCGCCAGTGCCGTCTGGGAGTATCTAGGGACAATCAAAAGCAGGTCGGAGGTCAGCACGTGCCGTGACGTTACGGGGGGGGTGTCGCGGCCAGTTCGCTAACGGCCAGCATCGCGCACATCACAGACAGCAGCGCTCCGGCGTCGTGGCGATGGCGACGGCAGCGTGGTGGCGGCCTCTCAGGCCCACCCTCCGCGCGATGGACGCTGGGCCCAGGCGGCGTGCGCGGAGGCGGCGGCACCAGCAGGTGCCTCTGGCTGCTGGAGTTGCGGCCGCCTTCGCTCGGGTCGCTTCCCCCCCAGGGGCGACGCGCGCACCGGGAAAGCTTCTATAGTACATCTTTGATCTGCGGGGCGAGAGCGAACCTCTTCCGCTAAAAGCCAGGCGGGCTACGCGCAGCTTTAATCAGGGAGACAGGGCACAGGAAGGCGGGGCCTCAGGCGGCCGGAGCGGGCGGGGCCCGGGGTGCAGGCGGTGCCGAAGGAAAGCTTCCAGTGCGTGCGCCGTGGCGGGCGCGTGCCCGCCGTGCCCGTCGGTGCTCGGCCTCGGCAGGCTCTGCCCGCGCGCGGCCTGGCTCCCGCCGCCCCGTGCTGGCCGCTCGCCCCGAGAGCGGCTGGGGGGGGCGGGCGGGCGGCACGCTGGCTCTGCCCGGCCTGCGGGCCGCTTCCTTCCGGGCCCGTGGCCACGCGGCGGGCGCCAGCCACGGCGTGGCGCTGCTCGACGACGTCGGCGCCTGGCAGTGCGCCGCCTGCGGGCGCTTCGCCCCCGGGGGGGGGGGGGGGGGGCGGGTCGCCGGGCGCTGCTGGGCCGGCGGCGGCGTGCCCGCCCGAGGCGACGGTCGCTGGGGCCGCGTACACCGTCGGCGCACCAGCGCAGCGCCCGCGGGCCGCGGCCCGAGCCTGGCCGCCGAGCTGCCCGCCCCCGCGCCGCCGCGCCCGCCGGCGACGCGCGCGAGGCCGAGCTGGAGGCGGAGGAGGCGGCGCGGGGCTGCGGCGGGCGGCCGTCGTCCACGCGCCGAGGAGGGTGGGCGGAGGAAGGCTTTTCAGCGAAGCACCCCTGCTTCCTGGAAGGCGCGGGCATTCTCTGTAGATGTGGAGCCCGCGCCTGCTGAGAAGCAGCCCCCTCCTTCTGCGGAGCCTCCCCCTCGCCCCCCATCCCCTGGTGCGCGCTGCCAGGGCTGTTGGGGCCCACGGGGGCTCGCGCGCCGCCCCCGGGGTGGGGGTCGGTGGGGGCTCGTGCGCCGCCCCGGACGGCCACCCGACCACGTTTTTCGAGGCAGGCGGCTTCCTCGTCGTCCTCCACTGGGGGGCCCGCGCGGCGTGCGCGTCGTGCGCGCCGTGGGCGCCCCAGTGCCCGTGAAGGCATGCGGCGTCGCCTCGATTCTCCGAGTCGCCTCTCCCTCCCTTCCCCTCCCGTACCCTCCCCTCCCCTCCCCCTCCCCTCCCCCTCACCCCTCCCCCTTCTCCCCTCCCTCTCCCTCCCCCCCCCCCCTCCCTCCCCTCCCTCCCTCCCTTTCCGACTCGCCTGTCCCTCCCCCCTTCCCTCCTGATGGCGGCGGCGACGCCGCGTGCGACGCAGACGGCGGCGGCCCAGCCGTGGAAGCGCAGGAACCCGCTGGAGTTCCTCCCTGCCGCCGACAAGGAGAAGGCGGCGAAGAAGGACCGCCCAGGGGTGGGCTTCGGCGGCTCAAGGAAGGATCCTGGCGTTCCCTTTTTTTGTCGAGCGTGGCGTTTTTCAGGAGGGCTAGAAACACACAGACACAAATACTCGCCGATTCCCCAGAAATATGGGAAATATGGGAAGTGAAGGGGAAGACGAAGTTTTAGGTCATATGGAAAATGCTGGAAATCCTGGGAAGTGTCTGTATTTACTTGTGTGTCCTTGGATCCCTTCAGTTTTATTTTGTTTTCAGGCCCCAGGACCCTCACAGATCGATCCGGCTCGAAAAACGACGCAGAAAGCTGGGATCTGGGGCTGCGGGCGTGATTTCACGATGCTGTGTTTTTCTCGCTGCGTCGGATCTCAGGGCAGGTGGCTCGCCTCTCTTCCTCCTCCCAGGGCGCGCTCCGTGGCGCCGCAGCTCCCCGCAGCGCGCACGCCGGTGCCTTCCTAGGAGCCTCGGCCGCGCCCTGCAGCCCCACCCCCCCCGCGGCGCGGCGCAGGACGCGGGCCCCCGCCCTGCCCCGCCCGGCGCCCCGCGCGAGGCCCCGCGCAGCGGCGCGAGAGGCTGGGCGCAGGGCCGCGAGGCCGCCCCGCCTGGCAGCACCCGGGCCGCGAGCGGCACTGCCGGGCTCGGGGAGCGCAGCCTCCGAGCGGAGGAGCTCCCCGGGCCGCGCCGGCGGCGGCCCGGGCCGCGGGCGCGGCAGGCCGCCGAGGGCGCCGCGGCAGCAAGGGGGCGGCCTGCGCCTGCCGCCGCCGCCGCCGCCGACGCCGGCGCCGCGCGTGGCCGCCCGAGGGCTCCACGGTGGGCCCCGCCTGGGCAGGTCGGCCACGGGAAGGCGAGGGCATGCCTTCTCGTGTGTCCCTGTCGTCGGGGGCGGAAAAGAGGGGGGTGATGACTAGGGGGGGGTGGATATCATGGCGTGGGCCATGATATTTCCCCATATCTCAGGGCGCCTCTTCTTGTTTCATTACGTCCCTGGCCCCCCCGCTGGGCCGCGCACGTGCCGCCGGTCATGATTTGCCCCCCCCCTCTTGGACACCCCCCTCTCTGCCGCCCCCGATGTCGGTGCTGGCCTGTGAGTGCAGCCCGCGGGGGGCACCTTTTTTGGGAGGGGGGCTCCGGGGCCACGCTGCCGTCGCAGGAGTCGTGGGGGTCCTCTCTCGGGTTGGGCGAAAGGGGGGGATTGGGAAAGGGGGGGTTACGGAATTTGCTGCATGCAGCTGGTTTCGGCCCCACCGAGGGGCCCATTCCTCGATACATGGGCGCCTCTGGCGCCGGGAGGCGCCGGGAAAATCAGCTACGTGAGCTGATTCTCAACCCCCCCTTTGCTATCCCCCCCTTTCGCCGACCCGAGAGTCATGGGGGTCCTCTCGGGTGTCTTGTCCAATCAAATCCGACTGTACTTCAAGCTGCTTTGGGGAACGGCAAATGACGCAAGCATAAACATTCGGAGGCGCCGCCAAGGGGGTCCAGCGCCGATCCGAGAAGTCCGCGCGGACCTTCGAGTTATTATGTTTATTTCAATGCTCGTTCCCCTATGCTTATCGAAGTATCGTCTAACCCATCCCCCTCCCTCTGGGCCAAAGGCTTCTCAGCCCCTCCAGCGGCCCCCCCCATGTAGGGACAGGTCCCGCGAAGCCCGAAGGGAGCAGCACGTGCTCCGGGCCCAGGGTGGCAAGTCGGCCAGTGGGGCCAAGACCATGGCAGTGGGGCTAGGGATCGGTTCAGCGATTCTCAGTACCCACGCCAGCCTTCGAGTAGGGGATCGACTACAGACGTGATTAACCCCAAACTTGATTTTATCGTCGAATCAAATCGTATAATGTTCTTCGTAGGTCTACGAACATTCAACGAATTTCCCATGGACTCGGCGAACACATCAGAATTGGGGTACACCAACTCTGCAATCGACCCCCTGCTCGAAGTCTTGGGCCACCTGTGGCACGGGTTGCGTCGTCGTGCTTGCAGAAGACGGGGCGACGGGAAGGTCCCCGTCGTCTGCACTTCCTCCCGCGTCGACCCCGCCGACCTTCCGGTCGCTCCCGGCGGCAGCGTCTCTGCTGCGGCGGACTGGCCGGCCGACGTCCTCGCCGCCGAGGCCGCTCGCCGCTGCCGGCGTCGTGGTGGGCCGGCGGGCGCGGGGCCTCTCGGCCGACACGGGCCACCCGGGATCGTGTGGCCCCACGGGGTGCGCGAGCGAGCAGGTCGAGCCAAGATCGATGCCTGCTGCCGCGGCCAGCTCGGGTGGAGGAGGAGGAGGAGGAGGAGGAGGAAGACGAGGAATACTATTAGCAATAAGAAGAATAATGATACTACTATCCATATGAGGAAGAACAATAACGATACTACTAATACGAATAATAGTAATAATAATAATAATAATAATAATAAGAATACTAATAATAATAAGAAGAGGAGGAGGAATGGGGGCAGGAGCGGGAGAGGGCCTCTCTCCCTGCCCCTCCCTCCCTCGTCTTCCCTCCTCCCTGCTACTCCCTGCTCCTCCCTCCCTGCTCTCGTCTCGTCTCCTCCTTGCTCCTTCCTGCTCCACCCTCCTTCTCCTCCTTTCGCCTCATCCTCCCTGCTCCCCTCGCTTCTCCCGGGGGAGGCGTAAGCCCCTCCCCAAAGGGGAAGAGGGGCAGATGGACGACAAAACACCCTAGACCACCTTGGTTCGCCTTAAAAGCGCCCTGGGCGTTATTCTAGCGTTTTCTATCTTGGGCTCTTGACAGGCTGAAGACGCGAAACAAATGCGACGTCTTTTTAACGTTTTCGGGGCTGTGGTTTTGGCTTGTATAGTTTTCCGCGTTTTCATGCTGTAAACGCTAAGCAATATCTGAACACGTTAAGACAACACATCATTTTTTAGCGTTTTCAGTTTTTGTTGAGACCTGAACACGTAAGCAACAAGGATTTCCAATTCGCCGAGCTGCAAACGCTAACAAAAACGCCCTGGGCATATTGAAGGCGAACCAAGTAGACCACCTACGCCCCCAAAGGCGGGTGGGATTCCGTTCCAAACCACTTCCTGGCCCCCTCTTGGGGTCTATCCTGGCAGTTTTTTGTGTTTCGGATCATTTTCTGGCGGCCTTGTGGCCGAAACCGAAGAAAGACAAGTGGCGTCATTCTTGAGAGTCTTTTCTGCGAGCCCCTACGACGACGGCTACGACCGCCTCTCCCAGGGCAGCAAGGAGGGCGCCTCCTCTGGAAAGGCCAAAAAAGGCTCCGCTGGCAAGAAGAACAACAAGGCGGGGTGCGGCCCGTCGTTGCCGCCGCTGCTGTCGCCGTCGTCATCGTCGTCGTCGTCGTCATCGTCGTCGTCGATGTTGCCCTCGGTGTCGTTGGGCACCGTCGAGGCTCGGGGCCGTCACTGACTTCCCCTGTGATCTCTCCTGCTTCTGCTCCTTCTCCTCTCTCTCAGGAGCCCGGGGAGGGAGGAGTGGGAGGGGAGGAGGGCGGAGGAAGGCGCGAGGAGGGAGGGAGGGAGGGCGGGAGAACGCCTCGGGCGAGACCCCGGTCTTGAAGGGGAGCCGCCCTTCATCCTTCCAGCCGTTGCGGGCAGGCTCTCGAGCGACGGGTGCGCGCGGCGCGAGGGCCAACGCCGCACCGCGGAGACGACCAGGCCCGCGCCTCTCGCCAGCTGCTGCAAGACCTGTAGTTCGAGCCGGTGTGCGCCGTGCTTCGGCGAGAGCCCCATCTTGAGATCGACTGGCCCTCCGTCCTCTTCAGACGTTGTAGGATAATGGGACGAATGTGCGCTGCGTGGAGGCGACAGCCTCATGTTGAAGACGACAGCCCGTGCTCCATCGTTGCAGCCCGAATGCCCGTGGCGCCACAGGCGAGAGCCCCATTTGGAAAAGGACCGGCCCTCCATCCGTGTGAGTTTTGGGGTTCCTCGAGCTTGCAGTGGTGCATTCTTGCCGCTTCGCGTATCCCTGCCAGCCCATCCAACTGCAGTCGCCAGGGGAGTTCTTGGTGAACAGTGACGACGACGGCGACGTCGACGGCGACTTGAATCAGCCATCGAAGCTTTTGCGGGTCTTTCGCTCTGGGTGCCTGTTGGAGGCATTTTGGGGTCATCTTAGAGCCCTCGTGGAGCCATTTTGGAA